AGCTCAGGAGTTCAAGACCAACATGGGCAATATGGCAAGACCTGTCTGTACTAAAAATAAAAAATTGGCCAGGCCAGGCACAGTGGCTCACACCTGTAATTCTAACACTTAGGAGGTTGAGGTGGGTGGATCACAAGCCCAGGAATTCAAGACCAACCTGGGCAACATGGTGAAAACTCATCTATACAAAACTTGGCTGTGTATCGTGGTGCATGCCTGTAGTCCCAGCTACTCGGGAGGTTGAGGTGGGAGCATCACTTGACCTTGGGAGGTGGAGGTTGTGGTGAGCCTTTGAGGTTGTGCCACTGTACTCCAGCCTCGGCAACAGAGCCAGACTTTTTCTCAGGAAAAAAAGTTAGCCAGGCATGGTGACACATACCTGTGGTCTCAGCTACTCAGGAGGCTGAGGTGGGGGATTGCTTGAGCCTGGGAGGTCAAGGATGCAGTGAACCGTCGTCATGCCACTGCACTGCAGCCAGGGCCACAAGCGCGAGATTCTGTCTCAAAAGAAAAAAAAGAATTTCTTTTTTTTTTTTTTTTTTTTTTTTTGAGACAGAGTCTCGCTTAGTCGCCCAGGCTGGAGTGCAATGGCGCGATCTCGGCTCACTGCAAGCTCCGCCTCCCGGGTTCACACCATTCTCCTGCCTCAGCCTCCCGAGTAGCTGGGACTACAGGCGCCCGCCGCCTCGCCCGGCTAATTTTTTGCATTTTTAGTAGAGACGGGGTTTCACCGTGTTAGCCAGGATGGTCTCGATCTCCTGACCTCGTGATCCGCCCGCCTCGGCCTCCCAAAGTGCTGGGATTACAGGCGTGAGCCACCGCGCCCGGCCCTTGTAACTAAATTTCTACATAAATTTTCCCTAGGGCAAATTCCTACAAGTGGAAAAACAGCAAGGTATATTCATAATATTTATTTATTTATTTTTTGAGACGAAGTCTTGCTTTTGTTCCCCAGGCTGGAGTGCAATGGTGCGATCTTGGCTCACTGCAACCTCCACCTCCCGGGTTCAAGCGATTATCCTGCCTCAGCCTCCCGAGTAGCTGGGATTACAGGCACCTGCCACCATGCCCAGCTAATTTTTGTATTTTTAGTAGAGATGGGGTTTCACCATGTTGGCCAGGCTGGTCTTGAACTCCTGACCTCAGGTGATCCACCCACCTCAGCCTCCGAAAGTCCTAGGATTATAGGCATGAGCCACCACGCCCAGCCAATATATTCATATTCTTAAGATTCTTACTATCCATTTAACTGGAGATTTTTAATCAGTTGTACATTTGAGGAACTATTCCAAGACCTGATTAGAAAAAGCAGAAAAGAGCCTGGAACTTACTCCATCTGTTTTCTCAGTGGTTCTCAATCCTGACAATGCATGGCTTTTGTTGTTGTTTTTGTGGTGAGGTGGGGAAGGATGGTGGTAGTGGTAGCAGCTAGAACTTTTAAAACTATATAGATGTCCAAGGCCCTCCCCAGACCTGCAGAATTAGAATTTTTAAAGGTGGATGTCTGAGCATCTATAGGTGTTTATAAATACACAAGTTAGTTTGAAATACATTCTGTTTTAGGCCGGTGGGGTGGCTGACACCTGTAATCCCAGATCTTTGGGAGGCCGAGGCGGGTAGATAACTTGAGGTCAGGAGTTCGAGACCAACCTGGCTAACATGGTGAATCCCTCACTCTACTAAAAATACAAAAATTAGCCAGGGATGGTGATGCATACCTGTAGTCCCAGCTACTTGGGAGGCGGAGGCAGGAGAATCGCTTAAACCTTGGAAGCAGAGGTTGCCGTGAGCTGAGATTGTGCCACTGCACTCCAACCTGGGCAATAGAATGAAACCCTGTCTCATAAAAAAAAGAAAGAAAGAAAGAAAATTTGATTTTATTTTTAAATTCTGAAATTTTTCCAGACCATAGAAACTTTTTTTGCAGATAAAAACATCTACCTGCCTCTTTATCTACATTAATTTTCTCTTTCTATTGTAGACTACATGGGGATATGGACCTTTTTTCCTCGTAAATTTCTTTTGCATGATGTTTTGTGTTTAATACTATTAAATATGCATTCTAATCATGTTTTTTCAAATAAATTCTTTATTTTTAAAATTTTATGACAACATAAATGAGTGATTCTTAGCTAGGGTTGGAGAAGGAGCTTCTATAAGAATATCAGGACCGGGTGCAGTGACTCACACCTGTAATCCCAGCACTTTGGGAGGCCGAGGCGGGCAGATCACAAGGTCAGGAGATCGAGACCATCCTGACCAACATGGTGAAACCCCATCTCTACTAAAAATACAAAACTTAGCCGGGCGTGGTGGCACGCGCCTGTAATCCCAGCTACTCGGGAGGCTGAGGTAGGAGAATCGCTGGAATCCGGGAGTCGGAGGTTGCAGTGAGCCAAGATCACCACTGCACTCCAGCCTGGCAACAGAGCGAGACTCCATCTCAAAAAAATATGTATATATATATATATCAGGGTAGGGCCAGGAACGGTGGCTCACGCCTGTAATCCTAGCACTTGTGGGAGGCCAAGGCAGACAGATAGCTTGAGCTCAAGAGTTTGAGACCAGGGCAGTGGCTCATGCCTGTAATCCCAGCACTTTGGGAGGCTGAGGTGGGCAGATCACCTGAGATCAAGGGTTCGAGACCAGCCTGGCCAACATAGGGAAACCCTGTCTCTACTAAAAATACAAAAAAATTAGCCAGGCGTAGTGGTGTGCGCACCTATAGTCCCAGTAACTCGGGAGGCTGAAGCAGGAGAATCACTTGAACCTGGGAGACGGAGGTTGCAGTGAGCCAGGATCGTGCTACCGCACTCCAGCCTGGGCAATGTGGCAAAGCCCCGTCTCTACAAAAAATAAAAAATTAGGCATGGTGGCATGTACCTGTAGTCCCAGCTACTCAGGAGACTGAGGTAGGAGGATGGTTGGAGCCCTGGAGGCAGAGGTTGCAGTGAGCAGAGATCACATCACTGCACTCCAGACTGGATGACAGAGCCAGACCCTGCCTCAAAAAAAAAAAGTCAACTAAGTGCAACTGGCCTAAAAAGCAACTACTCCAGATTGTAGTAGGAGGCTGGAGGGCCCTAGGAAGGCAACTTCCAGGAGAAAATTGAAATTGATGGGTTTGAGGGTATGGAAAAATATATGGATAAGTCAAATAGCAGAGATGTTGGTGTATTTGTAAAAAGTTAATAATAGCTATATGAGAAACCAAGCAAGTGAACAAATGAGGTGGTTATTAACTCTAGGAAAAAATAGGTGTATAAGGAAAGAAAGACATTGTCCGGGCACAGTGTCTCATGCCTATAATCCCAGCACTTTGGGAGGCCGAGGCGGGTGGATCACCTGAGGTCAGGAGTTCAAGACTAGCCTGACCAACATGGTGAAACCCCATCTCTACTAAATACAAAAATTAGCCAGTCATGGTGGCAGGCATCTGTTATCCCAGCTACTCAGGATGCTGGGGCAGGAGAATCACTTGAACCTAGGAGGCAGAGGTTGCCATGAGTCAAGATCGTGCAACTGCACTCCAGCCTGCGCAACAAGAGCAAAACTCCATCTCAAAAAAAAAAAAGGAAAAAAAAAAAAAAACAAAACAGGAAGAGAGACATGGTTGGTTTTTGTTTTTGTTTGTTTGTTTGTTTGTTTGTTTTGAGATGGAGTCTAGCTCTGTCACCCAGGCTGGAGTGCAGTGGCGCGACCTTGGTTTACTGCAACCTCCGCCTCCCGGGTTCAAGCAATTCTCCTTTCTCAGCCTCCCAAGTAGCTGGGAACAGGCGCCCGCCACCACGCCTGGCTAATTTTTTGTGTATTTTTAGTAGAGACGGGGTTTTACCATGTTGGTCAGGCTAACGTCTCGAACTCCTGACCTCAAGTGATCCACCCACCTCGGCCTCGCAAAGTGCTGGGATTACAGGCTTGAGCCACCAGGCCCAGCCGAGACAGGTATTTCTATTTGCCTCAGCTTTGAACCATATTTGCATAGTCATAGTAATATAAATGTGGACTATTGATTTAAGCAAAATTATACCAGAGCTATGTTGGTGGAATGAGAGCAGGAGATACAGTGGAAGATAATCATGTAAGAAGCTTTGTCTTCATCTACCATGGTAGGAAGTTAAAACTGGCTGACTCTGGGTACACTGCCTATGAGTTAGCCCTGCTCTGCAAGGAACTGTAAAGAAAATTTGAAAAGTTAAAATTAAGTCATACCCATATAAACATTAAGAATAATTATTAAAAAGCAGGATAACACTGTGCATGGTGGCTCATCTGGTAACCCCCACACTTCGGGAGGCCAAGGTGGGAGGATCACTTGAGTCCAGGAGTTCCAGACCAGTCTGGGCCACATAGAGAGACCCTGTCTCTACAAAAAGTAAATAAATAAAAAGCAGGATAGCCATGGAAAATAACTGAAGGTAATTGTTTCTGGGAAAAGGTTAGTGGGGGATTGAGTCAAGAGAAATTTAGGAATTAATTTAAAACCACATAACACATTTCTCTTTCTACAGAAATTATTTTATTTTATTTTTTTGAGACAGTCTTGCTCTGTCACCCAGGCTGGAATGCAATGGTGTGATCTCTGCTCACTGCAATCTCCACCTCCTGGGTTCAAATGATTCTTAAGTAGCTGGGATTACAGCCACATGCCACCTTGCCTGGCTTTTTTTGTTTTTTAATAGAGTCGGGGTTTCACCATGTTGGCCAGGCTGGTCTCGAACTCCTGACTTCAGGTGATCCGCCCGCCTCGGCCTCCCAAAGTGCTGGGATTACAGACATGAACCACTGCGCCCGGCCAGAAATTACAGAATTTTATAATGTACTTGGCCAAAGTATATTCAGATTTATCATCACTTAAAGTTTCTCTAAACAAACCTAGCAATTTATAGGTGAAATCCAGTGCTTTGAATGGTAGACCTGTAGTAAGTTTTTGTTAATCAGAAGGTATTTCTATATAAGGAGATTTTTGCTAACTCAACCTGTTTCTATCTTCCTTTTAGGTTTAAGTTTTTGAAACTGAAGTAGGTCTACACAGTAGGAACTCATGTCGTTTCTTGTAAGTAAACCAGAGCGAATCAGGGTGAGTGTTTTTCTATTCTTCTGACTTTACTATTTTTGTTTTCTGAAAAGCAGTGTGTGTTGGCAGATGTTGTAGGTGGTTAGGGTCGGAATGATACAGAAGTGAGGAATGTAGGAAGTAAGGCAGGTAGTGCAGCCTCCACTCCTGAGAAGAGTTTGCAGACAGAGGCTGACCAGAGACACAAAATTTACCACCAGCTTTTCTGATAGAGAAGAAATAAGAAGAAAGTGGCTTATTTCATGAATATCAGTCATACAACATTAAATGAGTCAATAATACTTCTCAGTGTAGATACCTATCTGCTTATGACCCACCCCCCGCCCTCTTGAGTTTATGAGTTTTCAAAATCAAGTTGTAATTACCAGGACACTTTTTTCTAAGTAATATCATTAGTTTTAATTGAAGACTTTTTGAACATGAAAGATTTTATTATACTTCAAAACTTCGTCAGAAAAAATGACCTCAAAAACAATACTAGATTTAGCTTCTTTACAAATTCCCATTATTTCATGAGTGTCTTATTTTATTATCAAGTACCTAATTTCTAAATGCAATAGTAATTATTTTAGAATTTTGTAACAGGGTATAAGTGCTATGAGACATTATGAGTACACCACTTTCTTTACATATTAAAGCATAATTTATGTTTTTTGATGCAGTGCATATAATTTTATATGAAGTTTTAAATTTAGGATGTTATTTCTTTTTTGATTCGGAAAAAATAGTTATAGGGAAGGACAGAGAATGATGCTGTAATTCCAATTCACAGTCTGTATCATGCACCTTATTTCTGAATGTTACTTAATACTTAATCTTTTTTCTAATGTTTATGCATATAAGAACAATTTATGTTAGAGAGAGTAAACTTCACTGTTAATTAAGAGGAAAAAAGGAATGTCTCCATAGCCTGAACTCTGCCCAGTGGAAAGAATGCCCCCAAGCCAAAGTGTAACACCAGTCCTTAAGGGAAATACAATCTTGATTCCATTGCTTTTAAATACGAGCTCCTTTTCTGTTTCAATGTAGCCTAATTCAGGTGAAACAAAACCACTGATCAGAATGACAGAAATCTAATACTCATTTGAAATAGGCTAGTAAAGTGAGCCATAGATTGATCCTGCTAGTTTGATCTTACTAGTTTGGCCCTTGTGAACTTGGCAGAAAATATAAGCAGCCATGTCTTTAGAACCCCTAGTGGATAAAGAATATGCAACTTGTTGTGTGTCGTTTTACAAACTAACAGGGTTTTGTGGATAACTACTGTTCCATCTCTGTTTTCTGTGTTATGAATTCCAGTGATAGTTTTCAAATTGACATCAGTGATCCAAGGCATCTGTAATGCAGAATGAGTAAGATGGAACCAATATAGGGAAGGCAAAAAAAGTCTTCATTATTAGAGCCAGTATTATCTATTTCTCATCTGTCAAATTTAAGAATTATTCATCAAATAGGCAAAGAGGAGTAGAGAAAGGAATCTTGTTTTTAGTTCAAGATTCTATTAACAACTTTTCCATAGAAATGATTCCTGGCCAGGTGTGGTGGCTCACGCCTGTAATCCCAGCACTTTGGGAGGCCAAGGCGGGCGGATCACGAGGTCAGGAGATCGAGACCACCCTGGCTAACATGGTGAAACCCCGTCTCTACTAAAAACACACACACAAAAATTAGCCAGGCGTGGTGGCGGGCGCCTGTAGTCCCAGCTACTCGGGAGGGTGAGGCAGGAGAATGGCATGAACCCAGGAGGCGGAGCTTGCAGTGAGCCGAGATCGCGCCACTGCACTCCAGCCTGGGTGACAGAGCAAGACTCCATCTCAAAAAAAAAAAAGAAATGATTTCTAACTGTACTGCATGATTCTGTTTTCATAGTTGTGATTTTGTCTGTCTGTCTAAAGGCTGATAGCTAATTTGTTGTGGCTTGGAAGAAATACTAATTCTCTTTGGGGTTTTCCTCTTTAGCGGTGGGTCTCGGAAAAGTTCATTGTTGAGGGCTTAAGAGATTTGGAACTATTTGGAGGTAAGTACAGTATGGCATTTAGCCATCACTTCAGGATATAAAAAATCACTACTTTTTTGTTGACTAAAGCAATCTATAGCAATTAGCAATTCTAAGGGCAAGTGTAATCTACAGTTATTGGATTTCTTTGGTTCCTTTATGAATTTATGGTTTCCCAAAGATTTGAAGACTAACCTGGCAATTTTCCTTGGCCTCTCTTGATTGTTAGAAAGCCAGTATTTACTTAAAAGCATATATGTTTTCTTTTGTCCAGGTGAAATACATATTTTTAAAGAAAGAAAACTAAAAGTCTCTAGCCTTGAAGATTTAAAAAATAATTGTCAAGACAAAGGAAGCAATGATCTGGAAGTTCTGGTTTTATCGCTCAATCTAGTTGACTCATTTTTTCATGGTAGAAATTATGAAACTTAAGAGAACAGAATGAAGGAAAAGTCTTTCAGAGCAAAAATATGAACTTCTATTGTAAAACCTGAATGTTGATTTCAGAAGTAAACCTTGACAGGCCTAGGCATTACCCTTTGGCCATTTTCAAAGTGAGCCTTTTAGGGAACTGTCATCTTAATTTAGGGCAAAAAAAATTATTTTCAAAAAAAATAATAGTAGAGCACCATTCTTTGTGTCTGAATACCAAGGTACTCTTTTAGGATCTTATAGTTTAAGAAACAGATTATCAGCTGGGCGCGGTGGCTCACACCTGTAATCCCAGCACTTTGGGAGGCCAAGGCAGGCAGATCACGAGGTCAGGAGATTGAGACCATCCTGGCTAACATGGTGAAACCCCGTCTCTACTAAGAATACAAAAAAATTAGCCAGGCGTAGTGGTGGGTGCCTGTAATCCCAGTCACACTCGAGAGGCTGAGGCAGGAGAGTGGCGTGAATCTGGGAGGCAGAGCTTACAGTGAGTGGAGATCGCACCACTGCACTGCAGCCTGGGCGACAGAGCGAGAAAGAGCGAGAAAGAGTGAGTCTCAAAAAAAAAAAAAGAAAAAGAAAAGAAACAGATTATCAGGCCGGACATGGTGGCTCACGCCTGTAATCCCAGCACTTTGGGAGACCGAGGCAGGCAGATCACTTAAGGTCAGGAATTCGGGACCAGCCAGGCCAATGTGGTGAAATCCCGTCTCTACTAAAAATACAAAAATTAGCTGGTCGTGGTGGCGCGCACTGTAGTCCCAGCTACTTGGGAAGCTGAGGCAGGAGAATCGCTTGAACCCAGGAGGTGGAGGTTGCCGTGAACCAAGATGGCACCACTGCACTCCAGCCTGGGTGACAGAGCAACACTCCGTCTCAAAAAAAAAAAAAAAAAAAATCAGATTATCGGCCGGGCATGGTGGCTCACGCATGTAATCCCAGCACTTTGGGAGGCCAAGGCAGGCGAATCACCTGAGGTCAGGAGTTCGAGACCAGGCTGGCCAACGTGGTGAAATCCCATCTCTACTGAAAATACAAAAATTAGCCAGGCATGGTGGCGCACACCTGTGGTCCCAGCTACTAGGGAGACTGAGGCAGGAGAATGGCTTGAAATCAGGAGGTGGAGGTTGCAGTGAGCCGAGATCACGCCACTGCGCTCCAGCCTGGGTGAAAGAGCAAGGCTGAGTTTTTGAGACTCCGTCTCAGAAAATAAATAAAATAAGAAGTAAATTTAAAAAGCAGATTATCAGATTGAGTACATTGGTTAGCTGATCCAAAATACCCCCAGATAGGATTTTTTGTTTTGGGGGGGTTTTTTTTGTTTTGTTTTGTTTTTTGTTGTTTTGTTTTGAGACGGAGTCTCGCTTTGTTGCCCAAGCTGGAGTGCAGTGGCACGATCTCGGCTCACTGCAACCTCCGCCTCCCGGGTTCAAGAGATTCTCCTGTCTCAGCCCTCCTGAGTAGCTGGGATTACAGGAGCACACCACCATACCCGGCTTAATTTTTTTTGTATTTTTAGTTGAGATGGGGTTTCACTTTGGGAGGCCGAGGCGGGCAGACCATGAGGTCAGGGATAGATTTAAGTAATTGAAAACTCACACTTGTTAGTTACTAGGTGGTACCTATTAATTTATTTTCCCTAACACATCTCAAAGAATTTCTGGACTAGAATTTTTGTGAACTTTGTCAGAGTGTTATGTTTTAGACAAATGGGAGTTTAGAAAAATGATGAGTTCTATATATTTTAGTTGGAAAGAATTAGTTAGATGCACAGTAAAGGAAAGGCTAGTGGAACAAAAATACCACATTCTGTTCCTATTCTCATTTTCTTCCCATCATTAATGGGAATAAAATGGTTTAAAATTAAACAGTGATGCAGGGCGCAGTGGCTCACTCCTGTTATCGCAGCACTTTGGGAGGCCGAAGCAGGCAGATCACAAGGTCAAGGAGTTCAGGACCAGCCTGGCCAATATGGTGAAAACCCCATCTCTGCTAAAAATACAAAAAAAATTAATCGGCATGGTGGCGCACGCCTGTAATCCCAGCTACTCAGGAGGCTGAGGCAGGAGAATTGCCAAGATCACACCACTGCACTCCTGCCTGGGCGACAGAGGGAGACTCTGTCTCAAAATAAAAAACAAAAAAAAGTAGGCCAGGTGCAGTGGCTCACACCTGTAATCCCAGCACTTTAGAAGGCCGAGGCGGGCAGATCACCTGAGGTCAGGAGTTGGAGACCAGCCTGGCCAACATGGCAAAACCCCATCTCTACTAAAAATATAAAAATTAGCTGGGCGTGATGGCAGGCACCTGTAATCCCAGCTACTCGGGAGGCTGAGGCAGGAGAATCTCTTGAACCCGGGAGGCAGAGGCTGCAGTGAACCGAGATCATGCCACTGCACTCCAGCCTAGGGATAAAGCAAGACTCTGCCTCCAAAAAAAAAAAAGAAGAAAGCATTTTCCTTGGTAACTAGACTTTTCTGATTTTGTATAGTTTAAGGTATTTAGAAATTTAAGATGATTAGAAATGTATAATCACCCCAATATTTTACAGTTAAAAATCTTCAGTTTGGTGATTTTTATCACTTATACAGAATAGAGAAGGTCAACAGCACTCACAGAATTTGACTTAAGAACAGAAAGTTATTTCAGTTGTCCTTTGTTTTGTTCATTTTCACTAGGACTAGCAGAGCACCAAATGCCTTTGCTTTATTTACATTTAGAATCAAATCTATCTGACTTTAGAGAATCAGGTTGAGTAATGGTCCTTCATACACGTGTTGCTATATTAAAATTTTTGCCCCTTTTTGAAAAAACATGTTTTCTAGTTCCCACACTCACTGGGAAATGGCCAACCATCTCTGTAACTATATAATGAATTATTTATTCACAAAGTATAAGGAACTGGCCTATTCATAACAACATTGTGTGTTGATGCCAAGTAAATGTATGACCAGAATTGTAGCAGTTGAGTTCTATCCAGTAAAGAATACCCATAGAATAGTAGATTTGCCACCTTTTGAAGAGCCATAGATCCATGTTTAAAGCCCCATCTCTCTGCAGCATTTTTACTGTGGATCTGTGTATGTGTGTTTATATGTAGCCCCACAGGCAATTTTTGCTGTAATGACTCTTAAGTGGTTTCTATTAATAAATGTAGTCCTAAGTACAATAATTGCTGTTCTGAATGTGGGTGTGTCTTCTGCTAAAACACAAAATGCCAACAATCAATTTCTCTACCCCAGAGCAGCCTCCGGGTGACACTCGGAGAAAAGTAAGTGACTTCCTAGGCCCTAGCACTATGGCTGTTGCATGGAGATGATTTCTTGTGGAAGTTTGTGTGTTCTGTTGGCTTATCATTTTATGTTTCTGCTTATCTGTCACTGAGCTTTATTTGTAGTGTGATTTTTGTACTTGTGGAGATTCAGGTTTCACCCTGGAAAGATTTGGATGTGTAATTTGAAAACTGAAAAAAGTCTCAGGTACTTTTTGTCTCTTCTGGGGATTAAGGTCTCCTCCCCTCCCCAGCCCTGCCAATCGACCACCACCCCTTCCCCCAAAAAAGTAAGTTTCAATAATCTGAAATACGGTTATTGTTTAGTGACTAATGGTATTAAATTTTCTGTCCTTAGTCTATTAATAATAGATTTGCGTCCACAGACATAATACAGATCTCTGTCTAGACCTCAAATCTCTTACTTTAAAAACAAAAGCAAAATTAAAAAGTATAAAACAGAACATTTACTTTTTTCATTGGTGAAAGCTGCAAGATTCTTACCCTGTTTCCTTCTCTTCTAGTTTATTTTACTTAAATAAATAGCACCAGATGTGCACAATGTACCAAGCTATTTTTGAAAATATGAATCAGCGTCTTATAAAGAGAGAGGATAAGAACTTTCCTACCTAGACTTCTGACTCTGTTCAGATTGTAGACATTTGCAGCTTCTGCAGCAGCCCAAGGTTGAGTGAAGGACAATGATGTTGACTCGGAATTCTGAGTAAAGCTTTGGCTATGCTTACGTCATCCACTAATCAGGAGCACCTCTCTATCAGATCCAAATGCTTTCCAATCTGGAGACCAAAAATGTTCCCTGTAGGCTCAGTTAGCTATTTTTCTAGAATACAATGCCAATTACATATAATTTTTATATTTTTACAGCTGCTGATGTTATATCAAAAGTTATCCTGCGTGAAACCTGTGGGAAGTTCAATGCGTTTATTTGGTAGCATTTTGTGAATATTGTCTTTGTATGCTTTACTGTAGTTTGTTTTAAACTCTTTAACACAGTTATTTTGTGGTCATTTCTGGATATCAGCTGCTTATGTATTTTTCAAATGCTTCAAAATGAATAAAATGCATTTCATGGTGGGGGAAACTAAGAAAACACTTTGATAGAATTAGTTACTTTCTATGAGCAATTTGAGATTATTACATTCCACTAATTAAACTATGTCATGCTGCATTTAAAGAGAATGGGCTAAATATTTCATTCTTTTTATCTGAGTTTCGACCTGTTCTAAAACTGAAACAGTGTGATGAACTAACCTTCCTTTCTTGTGGCAATGTCAGATGATCTGGACCTCTTCCTTTCAAAATATTGCCTGTTTCCTTGTTTGTTTGTTTGTTTTCCTAAATGAAGTTTGGTCTCTCTTTGAGTTCAGACCTATACAATATCCACAAAGAAGAAGGCCTCCATTTTAGAATAATTCCTAGTGAGCCGGGGACAGAGCAGTTGCTATCGCTGGACTAGTTCATTTTATGCAATTCCAGATTGCCTGTGAGCTCATATTGCCAGTTACATAAAGAACTTTCTTTTCTTTTCTTTTCTTTTTTTGAGACCGAGTCTCACTCTGTTGCCTAGGCTGGAGTGCAGTGGTGCAACCTCGGTTCACTGCAACCTCTGCCTCCTGGGTTCAAGCAGTTCTGCCTCAACCTCCCGAGTAGCTGGAATTACAGGTGTGTGCCATCATGCGCAGCTAATTTTTGTATTTTTAGTAGAGAATCTTTTCTGGTTTCACTATGTTGGCTGGTCTCAAACTCCTGACTTCAAGTGATCCATCTGACTCAGCCTCCCAAAGTGCTGGGATTACAGTCGTGAGCCACCGTGCCCAGTCAAGAACTTTCAAGAACTTCTTTTTTTTTTTTTTTTTTTGAGATGGAACTTCACTTTTGTTGCCCAGGCTGGAGTGCAATGGTGCAATCTCGGCTCACTGCAATGTCTGCCTCCCGGGTTCAAGTGATTCTCCTGCCTCAGCCTCCCAAGTAGCTGGGATTATAGACATGTGCCACCACACCCAGCTAATTTTTTGTATTCAGTAGAGACAGGGTTTCACCATGTTGGCCAGGCTGGTTTCAAACTCCTGACCTCAGATGATCCACCCGCCTCGGCCTCCCAAAGTGCTGGGATTACAGGCGTGAGCCACCATGCCTGGCCAAGAACTTTCTTTCTTTTCTTTTCTTTTCTTTTCTTTTCTTTTCTTTTCTTTTCTTTTCTTTCTTTCTTTCTTTCTTTCTTTCTTTCTTTCTTTCTTTTTCTTTCTCTTTCTTTCTTTCTCTTTCTTTCTCTTTCTTTCTTTCTTTCTTTCTTTCTTTCTTTCTTTCTTTCTTTCTTTCTTTCCCTCCCTTCCTTCCTTCCTTCCTTCCTTCCTTCCTTCCTTCCTTCCTTCCTTCCTTCCTTCCTTCCTTCCTTCTTTTCTTTTCTTTTCTTTTCTTTTCTTATTATTTTTTTGAAACGGAATGTCGCTCTGTCGCCCAGGCTGGAGTGCAGTGGCGCGATCTCAGCTCATTGCAAGCTCCGCCTCCCGAGTTCACGCCATTCTCCTGCCTCAGCCTCCCGAGTAGCTGGGACTACAGGCACCTGCTGCCATACCCGACTAATTTTTTATATTTTTAGTAGAGACGGGGTTTCACCATGTTGGCCAGGATGGGCTCGATCTCCTGATCTGCCTGCCTTGGCCTCCCAGAGTGCTGGGATTACAGGTGTGAGCCACCATGTCCGGCCCCCAGAACTTTATTTTCTAAAGGCCAGGTGTGGTGGCTCACACCTGTAAACCTAGCACTTTGGGAGGCTGAGGCAGGAGGAAGATTTGAGGACAGGAATTGGAGGCCAGCCTGGGCAACACAGTGAGACCCCATCTCTAAAAACAAAAAAACTAGCCAGGCATGGTGGCGCACACTGGTAGCCCTACCTACCCAGGAGGATAAGGCAGGAAAATCCCTTAAGCCCAGGAGTTCAAGGCTGCAGTGAGCTAGGATAGTGCCATTGCACTCCAGCCTGGGAGACAGAGTGAGGCTCTGTCCCTAATTGAAAAAGAAAAAAAAAAAGATTAGCCTGGCACGGTGGCATATACCTGGGAGGCTGAGGTGGGAGGATCTGCTTGAGCCCCGGAGTTCGAGGCTGTAGTGAGCTATAATCATGCCACTGTACTCCAGCCTGGGTGACAGAGTGAGACCCTGTCTCAAAAAAAAAAAAAAAAGAATTTTATTTTCTAAAACTAATACTTTTGGGTTAGTTTTAGTAGTTTTCTGTACTGCTAGAGAATAGAAATAAATATTTGTCAAGTTACTAGTTAAGCACATTGATAGTTTAATGAATCATTCCCTACCTAGGCTTAGCAAGAATGTGTCTTAGTGTATAGCCTAGTAGACAATATGTCTTATAAGCTTATATGCATGCCTGACAAGGAAAAGGGATATAATGAAGTATCTATCTGCCGGGCGTGGTGACTCACGCCTGTAATCCCAGCACTTTGGGAGGCTGAGGTGGGCGGATCACCTGAGGTCAGGAGTTTGAGACCAGCCTGGCCAACACAGTGAAACCCCGTCTTTACTAAAAATACAAAAAATTAGCCGGGCGTGGTATCATGCACCTGTAATCCCAGCTACTTGGGAGGCCAAGGGAGGAGAATCACTTGAACCCAGGAGGCAGAGGTTGCAGTGAGCCTATATCCCACTACTGCACTCCAGCCTGGGCAGCAGAGCGAGACTCTGTCTAAAAAAAAAAAAACCTAGCCAGGCATGGTGGCTCGCGCCTGTAGTCCCAGCTACTTAGAAGGCTGAGGCAGGAGAATCGCTTGAACCCAAAAGGCAGAGGCTATAGTGAGCTGAGATCGTGCCATTGTACTCCAGCCTGGGTGACAGAGCGAGACTCTGTCTCAAAAATAAATAAATAAAATAAAGTTTAATGGTCCTAGAATTTATTTTGAGAGCATTAGAAAACACAGATAAGTATAAAAACCAGTATCAAAGCAACTTTAACTACTGATCAAGCTCTGCTTAGGAATCTCTGTTTCCTCTATTTTCTCTTTTCTATTTTATTTGTTGAACAGGAGAGTCACCAAAAAGTAGAGAGCAATAGAAGGAGTAGGAGAATAGGATTCACACGTATTGAATGTCTTATACACCAGGTAGCACTAAGCTCTTAACATGTTTTATCTCATCTAATAGAGACAACACTGTGAGATGGAAATTACTCAGCTGCTGATATAATGGAGATTCCAAGAGATCAGAGTGACTTGCCCAGGGTCACAGAACCAGTAATAGACCTGAGTTCAAATTCTGCCTCTGTATGGCCCATAAGCCTATGCTCTTTGCGTTATAGCATATGTTTTATTTAAAATAGCCTTTCCCAATTATCTTTCCCAAAATTCAACAGATGTTAGGCACAGAAGGTTCCCTAGACAGATCTCTTTGGGAAATGCTAGGTTAAACAAAGTTAATAAGTTTTCTTACTACAGAATTTCTCAGTGCCTTTAATATGGACGTATACTTTGTGATCCTCCATGAGAGAGTATGCTGCATTTCCTAACTTCATTGGACATGGAAAGTTTTTCTATCCAACTGGCAGAATCAGAGTTCCGTGGGGCCCACTTTGGGGAAATCCTGTACTGAAACAATAGGAAAATGGGCAAGAGACAGGAAGAGGCATTTTCATCTTGGAGAAAGCTCACACGACTGATAAATGTATGAAGAGATCCTTATCTTCCTTAGTAACCAGGGAAATGTAAATCAAATCCACAAGACTGGCGAAAATTAAGAAATCTGAAAATACCAATGTTGGGGAAAAGATAATAAGAACACATGTGGCTGGGCACGGTGGCTCATGCCTGTAATCTTAGCACTTTGTGAGCCAAGCTGGGTGGATCACTTGAGGTCAGGAGTTTAAGACCAGCTGGGCAACATGGCAAAACGCCATCTCTACAAAAAAATACAAAACTTAGCCAGGCGTGGTGGTCCCAGCTACTTAGGAGGCTGAGTCAGGAGAACCGCTTGGACCCAGGAGGCGGAAGTTGCACTGAGCCGAGATCGTGCCACTGCACTCCAGCCTGGTGACAGAGTGAGACTCCGTCTTAAAAACAAAAACAAAAACAAAAAACACGTACGTCGCTGGTGGGAGTGTAAATTGGTATAACCATTTTGAAAAATAATTTGGCGTTGTCTCATAAAGTTGATTGTTCATATACTCTTGTCACCTAGCAATTCCATCCACTCCTAAGTACAAGCTTTAGTCAGGAGACATATTCAAACATGTTTATAGTAGCACAGTCCATAACAGCAGAACAGAAAAACAATCCAAATGACCCATCAATGTTGGAATGGGTAAACTGAGATATATTCATGTGATTAATATATTATACAGCAGTGAAAATGGGTGAACTACAGTGAAATACAACAATTTGGCCAAATCTTAGAAATATAAAAATTGATTAAATTAGAAATGGAATTTGGTGACAGGGCTTAATTTTGTTTGACTAGGTTCCTCTTATTGTCAGGGTAAGTGGTGAAGGAGACAGAGCCCACCTGGGGGTTTCTTTCTGCATCAGCGGCATCAGCTATTTTGAAACCACATACAGCCAGTAATCGCAGCTAGTTGGAAGGCTGAGGCAGGAGGATCAATTGAGCCCAGGAGTTCAAGGCCACAGTGAGCCAGGATCTCACCACTGCACTTTAGCCTGAGCGACAGAGAGAGACCCCATCGCTTAAAAACAACAGCAACAAATCAACAAATAAACCAGATACACGTGAAATGTCAGCCGACAGGGTGGCAGATTAATTTCACTGGCTTGGGCCTGGATCCTGTGCCGTGTACTCACGCTTTGATTTTTAGCAAGTCACTTAATCTCCTTGGCCCTCGTTTTTGTTAGTGAAAAGTGGAGATAAGATCTGTCCTGGCTACTTCACTGAGCTACGGAGGAGATCATGTGCAAAAGTATACCCTGGTCATCTAACAGGTATAGAGCACTGTCATCTTTATGGTTTCCTCTGCAGAGCCGCTTCCCAAAGAGTTGTTCAAGCACCGCCTTGTCAGAACACTCTCAGCTCGTACTCTTCTGGATAGTGCTGGGCCAGGAGCCTCTCATACTTTCCCAAAGGACTTTTTCTGCCTGGAGGTCAGGTTTGTGAGTGTAGCACATGAAACATGAGCTGGCCCAGGTTTCTCCGTTTCAGTTAGATGTGCATCTAAAGAAAGAGAATCTAAAAAAAAAGAAAAGCAGTCACAGTCCCTAAATCATACACATAAATTTAGGTCTGGAAGAAGGAAACAGTCCATTAACCTGAAAGAAGAGCTGTTGGTCTGCTGTGTGTTTTGCACAAACTCAGACATGGTTGGACACCTTCCTCTAGGACCTCAGAGGCCAGAGTTGTGACACATCCTAAATGGCTAGACTCCAGCTTCACTCACAGCACACGTGGGCAGGAAAAAGGGAGCAGGCCACGTCGACTGCCTGGATGATGCCTGAGACCTGATAGCTCTGTGCCTTGCCTGCAGCTCAGGGCATCCGTGGTTCTCCCACTTCACTGGAAATGCAGGCAATGACTGGCCCGGGCTCTTGGTTTGCTAAAGAGGGGCTACTCCTGGCCACATTTTCACTAGAGCAAGATTCAGTGTTTGACCTTTTGGGATCTTGTGGTCAGGACCTTAAAACTAGGATCCTAATGCATCAGGAAATTCAAGAGAACCCCTACCTCTCTACCTGCTTCTCTTTTCCAAACATGCTTTTATTCTCTAGACATCCCTTCTCCAAGTGAGAATTTCATAGGTTTTAGCAAATGCATTGATCGTTGGAAAGGACAAGCAGATTAACGGTTGATGGGAACAGGTCCTTGTCTCCCTGTTTATAGACAGCCCTAACACTTGTTCTGATATTAGTGCTGATTACTACACTGAATGTGATGTTTTGTTTCTCTTCAAATAGTGTTGGCACCAAGTCGGGATTTGTGTGTGTGTTTGGATGCCAGTCTCCTCGTGGGTCTGAATTACCACCTTCACCACACTCCCATCCCACCCCCAGTTTTCTCTACTAACCTATTTTTTTTTTTCTTTTTTAGACCAATGATGCGAGCTCAGAGTCAATAGCATCCTTCTCTAAACAGGAGGTCATGAGTAGCTTTCTGCCAGAGGGAGGGTGTTACGAGCTGCTCACTGTGATAGGTATGCGCAGGCACCGTCCTTACTCTCCTGCTCTCCTGCTCCAGGGGCTGCTGCAGCTTTCTCAGCAGCCCCAGATGTGTGTACAGCAGAGGCTCTCCGCTAGTTAGGAGGATTCATGGGCACAGACTTGCTTCTGTGGGTCTCCTCTGTTTTTTCCTGCCGAGTATGGGAAGAGATCAAACTTCCAGGAGAGAAGCTCTTTTGCCATCTTTCCTTTGTGGCTGCATGTTTCTGGTGTCCTGGCCACAGTGAGTCAGAAAGGTTGGCTGAGAAGGAACTGATGGGAGAAAAATCAAGAAATGTGAGCCATGAACGTAACAGTTAAATTCTGCTGGGAAAAGGAAAAAAAAAAAGTAACAGTAGTGAAAAATTTAACATTAAGTTTCTTTTGAAATCAAGTCCCTTTTTTAAGGAAAAATGTTTAAAAACCCTTTGTTGTTCTTGTCCTTGTGTATGGCATTCCTCTTTTCTTTTAGGCAAAGGATTTGAGGACCTGATGACTGTGAATCTAGCGAGGTACAAACCAACGGGAGAGTATGTGACTGTACGGAGGATTAACCTAGAAGCTTGTTCCAATGAGATGGTAACATTCTTGCAGGTAATAAACCATGAGTGTGTCACCTGGAGGGAGGGTGGGCTCTTGGCTCTGATAATAATTACAAGGAATTACAAAGAAATGAAGGGAGAGTAAACCTTCGGAAGTTACGGAAGCTTTCAGTGGAGAATCCTGGCCATTTGGCACTAAGGACTGGGCTCAGGCTAATTTACATTTCACTTTTCTTCTCCAAACACTCCCTTCTGGCTCCTTTATTCATTTATTTATTATTTGGAGAGAAGCTAAGTAACTTGCTCATGGCAGAGGCAGGATTCAAATCCAGGCCATCTTCTTCCAGTTGCAAGGCGCCTGCCCTGCCACCAGTGGCCATCTTCTGGCTCTCAGCATCTTATTTGCCTGATGTTCCTTTCGTTTTCTTTTTCTTTTTCTTTTCTTTTTTTTTTTTTTTTTTTGAGACAGATTCTCACTCTGTCACCCAGGCTGGAGTGCAGTGGCACAATCTCAGCTCCTGGGTTCATGTGATTCTCCTGCCTTAGCCTCCCAAGTAGCTAGTACTATAGGCGCACACCACTGCGCCTGGCTAACTTTTTTTTTTTTTTTTTTGAGACAGAGTCTCGCTCTGTTGCCCAGGCTGGAGTGCAGTGGCAAGATCTCTGCTCACTGCAAGCTCCACCTCCCAGGTTCACACCATCCTCCTGCCTCAACCTCCCAAGTAGCTGAGACTACAGGCGCACGCTGCCACGCCCGGCTAATTTTTTTGTATTTTTAGTAGAGACGGAGTTTCACCGTATTAGCCAGGATGGTCTCGATCTCCTGACTTTATGATCCGCCTGCCTCGGCCTCCCAACCGGCTAACTTTTGTATTTTTAGTAAAGATGGGGTTTCTTCATGTTGGCCAGGCTGGTCTCAAACTCCTGACTTCAGGTGATCCGCCTGCCTTGGTCTCCCAAAGTGCTGTGATTATAAACGTGAGCCACCGCGTCTGGCTTCTTTTTTTTTTTTTTTTGAGACAGGGTCTCATTTTATTGCCCTGGCTGGAGTACAGTGGCAGCAGCACAGCTCACTGCAGCCTTAACCTGCTAGGCTCAAGTGATTCTCCTGCCTCAGCCCCCCAAATAGCTGGGACTATAGGCACACCACACCTGGCTAATTTTTGTATTTTTTGTAGAGACAGGGTTTCACCATCTTGCCCAGGCTGGTCTCAAACTCCTGAGCTTGAGCAATCAAGTTGCTCCGGCCTCCCAAAGTGCTAGGATTACAGGTGTGAGTCACCATGTCCAGTCCTGACATTCCTTTCTATTCGAGAAGCAAGTAGCCACTGTCTTGTTAAACTGAGAGAGGGGCGAGGCATGGTAGCTCATGCCTGTAATCCCAACACTTTGGGAGGGTAAGGCAGGCAGATCACTTGAGCCCAAGAGTTTGAGATTGCACTACCAAACTCTAGCCTGGGTGATAGACTGAGTCCCTGGCTCAAAAAACAAAACAAAACAAAATGGAGAGAGACTGTGAGTCTAGTAAGTGCCTGGGAATTAGACTCTCCTTTCCTGATGCCAGCTTAGATTCAGAGCCTGGGACAGTTTTTCTTCAGTAGCGTTAGTTGCGCCCCTCCCCTCCTTCATTTACAACTTTTTCTGAATTGGTGGTTACCTGATGGTGCTCTAGGACCTGTTCATCTGTTCATAGTAGTTTGGTGGGTCTCAGCTGGCCTTTTCCTCCATCAACTATGTTTTCTTTCTTTCTTTTTTTATTTGAGACAAGGTCTGGCTCTGTTGCCTAGGCTGCAGTGCGGTGGTGCAATCACAGCTCACCACAGCCTCGACTTCTCCAGGCACAGGTGATTCTACCACTGAAGCTTCCAGAGTAGCTGGGACTAGAGGCGTGCACCACCATGCTTAACTAATTTTTTGTATGTTTAGTATAGATGGGGTTTCGCCATGTTGCCCAGGCTGGTCTTCAACTCTTGGGCTCAAGTGATCCACCGCCTCGCCTCCCAAAGTGCTGGGATTACAGGCGTGAGCCACCATGCCCGGCCATGTTTTCTTTTACAATAGAAACATAGTTTTGGGCTGGGCATGGTGGCTCATGCCTGTAATCCCAGCACTTTGGGAGGCCAAAGCAGGCCTAGGCAACATGGCGAAACCCTGTCTCTACAAAAAAATACAAAAAATTAGCTAGGTATGGTGACGTCCACCTGTGGTCGCAGCCACCAGCGAGGCTGAGGTGGGAGGATGACTTGAGCCTGGGAAGTTGAGGCTGCAGTGAGACAAGATCACACCACTGCACTCCAGCCTGGGTGACAGAGCAAGACCCTGTCTCAAAGAAAGAAAAAAGAAAAACATTTTTGGCCAGGTACAGTGGCTTGGTGGCTCACACCTGTAATCCTAGCACTTTGGGAGGCTGAGGCAGAAGGATTGCTTGAGCCCGGGAGTTTGAGACCAGCCTGGGCAACAACACAGTGAGACCTTGTCTCTCCAAATAACAACAACAAAATATTTTTTGTTTTCTTATCTTAAAGAGGAATTCTGTACGTTGACCCTTGAAATTGAGATAAGCTTGTAACTTCAGAAGTCTTCAGTCAAGAGTTTGCCTTCATCATCTCTGAGTCGGTGTGCTGGCACCCTCTGTTGTTGACAGTTTCCCTGTTTGGCAGAGGCAAAGCAGTGCTGGGTCCCTGCAGGGGCAGCAGGGCCTTGTTTTTCCTATGTTGACAGGCACCTGCTTAGGCTGCTCCTAGGACTCTGAGAACACCCAGAAAGTGCCAGGTCCCCCTATTGTCCATGCTGGCACCTTCGTGTTGAGCAGCATCCTTCAGGGCCATTTGGTTCTGACTTCAGCTTCATCATTGCTTCCAGGGTGAGCTGCATGTCTCCAAACTCTTCAACCATCCTAATATTGTGCCATATCGAGCCACTTTTATTGCAGACAATGAGCTGTGGGTTGTCACATCATTCATGGCATATGGTGAGTGGGAAAGGGTTCTTGGTAGAAAGGGGTTACTGGGACTCTGTTGTCAGATTGCCTGTTTTCCTCCTCCATTACCTTTCACTGCCTCCATGCAATTCTTTTCTCCAGGTTCTGCAAAGGATCTCATCTGTACACACTTCATGGATGGCATGAATGAGCTGGCGATCGCTTACATTCTGCAGGGGGTCCTGAAGGCCCTCGACTACATCCACCACATGGGCTATGTACACAGGTGCGTTCTTAGGTGGCCTTTCCCATGATTAGAGTGGGTAGCTGTGCCCCTGAGCCTTCAGGTAAACAGGTGAAGTTTGACTAAAGTTAATGAAGCCAGAGTTTAAAATCAAGGATCTGGATTCTTGCTGAGGGTCTCTTTGCTCTGAAAAGAAAAAGGGCCCAGCGTGGTGGCTCACACCTGTAATCCCAGCGCTTGGGAGGCCAAGGAGGGTGGATCACAAGGTCAGGAGTTCAAGACCAGCCTGGTCAACATAGTGAAACCCTGTCTCTACTAAAAATACAAAAATTAGCTGGGTGTGGTGGCACACGCTTGTAGTCCCAGCTACTAGGGAGGCTGAGGCAGGAGAATCGCTTGAACCCAGGAGGCGGAGGTTGCAGTGATTGGAGATCACACCATTATACTCCAGCCTAGGTGGCAGAGTGAGACTTTTATCTTAAAAAAAAAAAAAAAAAAAAAGAAGGAGGATCTGGATTCTGACCTTGCCACTGACTTGGGGGATGGTCTAACAGGCTTCAGCCTGTTAATGCTGAAGCCACTGACTTTCTCTTTGCTGAGCAGCGTGGTCCTGAGTGTTGTGTGAGAGGAACATCTGATGTGGACCTTTGTACTCCACCCTCTGCCTCCTTCTTTCTGTGCCCCAGAGTCAGTCTTATGCTGAGAGACCAGGGTGAAGACAGATAGCTTAGTAGATGGTGTCAGGAGATCAGCTCATAATAGGGAAAATGGTAAAACTGGACCCCTACCTAACTCCTCACACAGAGGAGGACTCCAGCTGGATTAAAGGCTTCTATGTAAAACGTAAAACTACAGACTTAAATAGAAGGAAATGTGAGAAAATGTTTTTGTGACCTGAAGCATATAATAATTTCTCAACATTTTAGAAGCACAAAACATAAGACAAAAGATTGATGAATTTGATTAGATCAAGAAGATTTCTATCCAATGCAAGATACAGTGAAAAAGGTGAAGAAACAAGTGACAGACCAGATGATATGAGCTTTGTCAACACAGGAGATTAGTAACAGGGAAATCTTGCAAATCAACAAGAAATGGACAGCAAAGCAAGAAAAATGGGTCAAAGATCAGAAGTCTACAAAAGAGGAAACCCCAAGACAAGCCCATCATGGGAAGAGCCACTCAAATCTTCAATCAGAGAAAAGCAAATGAAAAACAAGATGTCACCTTATGCACATGAGCCTGGCAGCAGGTGGGAGGATGGGCGAGTCCCAGTGTGGCAAGGACAGGGAGCCTCCTGTCCAGGTGGTGGAAGATGGCTAGTGCTGCCAGTCAGGGTTGTGGAACCAGAACCATCAATGCCACTTCTGGATGTACACCCTAAAGAAACCCTCATGCAGACCCATCAGGGGACATGTGTGGATGTCACCATTCACATGTGTGTTGGTTAGGGGTAGTGTGAGTGTTTGTCCCCAGAAGGGAGGCGGAGCTTCCAGTGAGCCGAGATCGCGCCACTGCACTCCAGCCTGGGTGACAGAGAGACGCCATCTCAAAAAAAAAAAAAAAAATTTAGCGGGGCGTGGTGGTGCATACCTGTAATCCCAGCTACTTGGATAGCTGAGGCATAGGGATTGCTTGAACCCAGGAGGCAGAGGTTGCGGTGTGCCTAGATTGAGCCACTGCACTCTAGCCTGGCAACAGAGTGAGACTCTATCTCAATAAAAACAAAAACATGGTTATGTATATGTAAAATACACATATACATGTATAACCCATGCACACAGGAGACAGCTGGCCGGGTGGAGCGTGTGAAGACCAAAAGTTTGTAGCAGGAGGGGCTCCTGCTCTCCATGACACCCTCCCTGCTTCCCCAGGAGTGTCAAAGCCAGCCACATCCTGATCTCTCTGGATGGGAAGGTCTACCTGTCTGGTTTGCGCAGCAACCTCAGCATGATAAGCCATGGGCAGCGGCAGCGAGTGGTCCACGATTTTCCAAAGTACAGTGTCAAGGTTCTGCCGTGGCTCAGCCCCGAGGTCCTCCAGCAGGTCTGTGCATGGGCCCAGAGGAGCTCCCCTACCCAACTCATGATTCCCAAGGGAGCGTTCAGGCATTGCCTGGGGTCGGGGGCTCTCAACCTCCCAGTGGGGTAAAGGGGTTCCTGGAGGTAGGGAGCCCTCAGCGTGGGCAGCGCCTGTCCATTGCAGATGGATGTGGTTCTTCCCAGGGGGTCCTAACCTCTACTGGATGCTATTTCAGCTCCCTTTAGGGACCCTTGGCACCCTATTAGAAGGGTGAGCATTTTGGAAATGTTTGCTGCTCTCTGGATCCCTGTGCTAAGCAGGAACCTAGGGCTGGCACTTGAGCTCCTTACAGAGCATCGCCAAACAGTTGCAGGTGGTAAAATAGCAGTTAGTCTTCAGTAGCACAGGCAAGGCGAGTCATTAGCAGCGGGTCCTGATTTGGAGACAGCCATCCTTTTCCTCTCCTAAGTTCTACCCTTTTTCTAAGAACAAAGACCAAATGGGGTCATCTGTGGCTTTTTGTTCCTGGCTTAGAATCTCCAGGGTTATGATGCCAAATCTGACATCTACAGTGTGGGAATCACAGCCTGTGAACTGGCAAACGGCCACGTCCCCTTTAAGGATATGCCTGCCACCCAGGTAAGCCTGCCGCCCATTGGTTTCCTTCTTGCCTGCCTGCCTTCCACAGATGTTCATTGAGTGTCTCTCACACTCAGGACACAGACCAGGAATACTAAGATGAAAGACCCTGTCTTTTCCTTCAAGAAGTCCCACCCAGTGGGGGATGGTGGACTCACTCTTTGTTTACTTCCTGTGGCAAATGCGGTGGTAAGGGAGGCCAGCTTGGGGAGGCGATCCCAGGAACAGGGGTGCAAATGGAGGCCCACACGCTACATGTCTATTTAAAACATATACATTAAGCTAACCAGTTTTTATAAATGTATAAAATATGTTCTATCCTCCTACTTGGATAAATATACCTGGAAGGTCAGTTTCTAATTTAGAATTCCCACAGTTCTCAGAGTTCCATGCCAACCACATTTCAGCCAACACCTTTGGAACCCCCATTCTGTAAGTTCAGCTTCTGTTCATGCCCCTCCAGATGCCAGTCCTCTGGCCACCCTCGGATCCAAGGGTGCACAGTCAGTGGCACAGTCTACCCTTGGGAAAACAGACCCAGGGAAGAGGCTTATCCAAGCCTCATTAAATCCAGAAAATGGATTTGGGGTCATTTGGGCAAGGATTACCTGGGTCCCAGGTACTTGGAGTATGGCCTAGAACTGGGATGGGGCAGGGTGCAGGCTCTGAGTAAGCCACTCCGGAACCCACAGGCTGCTTGCCCGGTGGTAGGGGCAGCTGGATGGTGGCCAGAGTGCAGCTCCCCAGAGCAGGGGCCCAGGGAGGTCCTGGGAGGAGGCAGCCTTGAGTTGGAAGGCAGACAGCAGTCACCTGTGTGGAGGAGGAACTAGGACACTCTTCTCGGCAGACAGCAGAATGTGCAGAGACCCAGAGTCTAGAAAACACAGGACCTGGAGAACAGCAAGGAGGTGTAAATGGTGTAAATGGCCAAGGTGCAGTGCTTCTTGGGGGCCGCCAGGTGACAGGCTGCAGAAGGAAGCAAGGGTACATTGTGAAGGGCTTTGATGCCACTTCAGAGCACTGGTTCCTGTCCTAAAGCCTGTGGAGCAGCACTGAGGATTGTAAGCACAGAAGTGACAGCATAAGATAGCTCATTTACAGAGATCACCCCAGCAGATGGATTAGATCCAGTAGATCGGTTAGCAGGGTATGGAAGTCTGTGTGAGGAATCTAGGAGATCTCAGTAAAATAATTCAGTGACAGAGGATGCTCAGGAAAGAATTGAAAGGTGACTGGGGGTAAACAAGAGGTCCAGGCCTAGAAGCAGTGCCGTCCACTAGAATTTGCTGCAGGGAAGGAGGGCTTCTGTGGCTGCGCTGTCCAGCGTGGCGGCCATGAGACTGTGTGGCTGTCGAGCATTTAGAAGGTGACCAGTGAGACCGAGGGACTGAATTTTAAACCTCATTTAAATCGAAATAGCCACAAGTGGCTAGTGGCTCTCACATTAGTGCAGCTCTACAGCAATTTCCAGGTTTCTGGCTTGGACAGCTTATGCGGTCATGAGGACTTCCACGAGGACAACAGTCCCCAGATGGGGCTGGTTTTATGTGTTGAGTTAGGGTACTTTGGAACAGCCACCCCAGCCTGGCCTCCCTTTGGGCATCTTGCTCCCGTGTGGCCTGCTGCAGTGACAGCCCAGGCTGTGGCACTGCAGGGACTGCCTCTCAGACCTCATTGGATCCGCCTGGGCATGGCAGACAGCTGCGCTTCAAAGCAGGTTCATCTGGCTGCTCCTCCCCTCTAGGGTGAGGACTCTACAGTAAAAGGAATTTGATGCCTTGTAAAGGGAGAGGAAACTGTGAGCCCTGCTTTCCAGCCATGGCAAAAAGCGGGTACTTTTGTGCAACCCCTCTCCTTTCACGTTGGCCTGGCTAGGGCGGACCTGCCATGCCAGTGACCAGCGTTTCTTTGGGAAAATTGGACTTACTCCACTTCCATCTTTTTCTGCTCTCAAATGATCACATTTGTATATTGGGAAAAGTGTATTTGTGAAGAGACTCAGGCCTTCCAGGGACCCCCCTCCAGCCCAGGTCCTGGTTCTGTCCTCCCCAGATGCTGCTAGAGAAACTAAACGGCACAGTGCCCTGCCTGTTGGATACCAGCACCATCCCTGCCGAGGAGCTGACCATGAGCCCTTCGCGCTCAGTGGCCAACTCAGGCCTGAGTGACAGCCTGACCACCAGCACCCCACGGCCCTCCAATGGCGACTCGCCTTCCCACCCCTACCACCGAACCTTCTCCCCCTACTTCCACCACTTTGTGGAGCAGTGCCTTCAGCGCAACCCGGATGCCAGGTATTCCTGCTGGCCTGGGTCTGGGCTTCGGGAGAGCAGAGGGTGCTCAGGAGGGTAAGGCCAGGGTGTGAAGGGATGCACCTCTCAAAGGTTCTGCAGGGGAATCTGGAGCTATATACAGGAGGGATCAGCTCCTGGGTGTGTCAGCGGCCAGCTTGGGGAGCTCTGGCTACTGTTTCCCATGAGCTGAGGGAGAGGGAGAGGGGACCGGAGGCTGAGGTATAAGTGGCAGGATTTCAGGAAGCTGGGGACACGGCAGTGACGCTGCGGTCTCTCCTCCCCTTTCCCTCCAGGCCCAGTGCCAGCACCCTCCTGAACCACTCTTTCTTCAAGCAGGTACCGTAGCCCCTTCGTTCTGGTTCTGGTTCTAGTCATTCTGGTTCTAACGATTCACAATCCCTTTAGCTTTCTTTCCCCTCCCTTTGAATGAGAGAAATTACCCTGCTTCCGAAGCCCCTGAAAGGCACTGCTCCTTCCTCTCGTAGAGTTGGCTCCGACAGCCCGTCTGCCACCAGGCCATGGGTCCTTGCCCCATGGTGTCCTGGGACCCAGAGCAACAGGATCTGTCACCCACCTCTCTCTTCTCCCCCAGATCAAGCGACGTGCCTCAGAGGCTTTGCCTGAATTGCTTCGTCCTGTCACCCCCATCACCAATTTTGAGAGCAGCCAGTCTCAGGACCATAGTGGAATCTTTGGCCTGGTAACAAACCTGGAAGAGCTGGAGGTGGATGATTGGGAGTTCTGAGCCTCTGCAAACTGTGCGCATTCTCCAGCCAGGGACGCAGAACCTTCCTGAGGGCTGGCCACATTCCCGCCCTCCTGGGCAGATTGGGTAGAAAGGACATTCTTCCAGGAAAGTTGGCTGCTGACTGATTGGGAAAGAAATCCTGGAGAGACACTTCACTGCTCCAAGGCTTTTGGGACACAAGGAAATCTCAACAAGCAGGGATCAAGAGGGTCCAAAGCCGACATTCCCAGTCCTATGAGCTCAGGTGACCTCCTCTACAGAAGGAAGAGATGCTGCTCTAGCTCTGGGAGCCGAATTCCAAGCCCAGGGTTTGACTTCTTAACCCTGAGGACCGCCACCTCTTCCCAATGCTTGCGACCAGCCTCATTCTACTTAACTTTGCTCTCAGATCCTATAGGTCAGTGAAAGGGCAAGTAGTAAGCTACCTGCCTCCCTTCCCCTAGACCTCTCCCTCATAATTCCAGAGAAGGGTATTTCTGTCTGTTTAAGCACGGACTAAGGCTGGGACAGTCCATCCTTATCCCTTTTCTGGCTTGGGCCCTGACACCTAAGTCTTTCCCACGGTTTATGTGTGTGCCTCATTCCTTTCCCACCAAGAATCTATCTTAGCACCTCCTGCCAGCTGCCCTGGTGCTTTCTCCAAGGGCCATCAGTGTCTTGCCTAGCTTGAGGGCTTAAGTCCTTATGCTGTGTTAGTTTCGTTATCAGAACAAATTAAAATTTCCAGAGACCCTGCTGGAGAATGGCATTGTGTCTGCATCAGCGCAGGGGCTACAGGCTGCTTCCTGGTGTGTGTGCTTGCAGGGATGGCCGTGCTGCCCCAGGTGAGAGTCGTCCCGCCATCCAAGAGCAGGCCCATGGGTGCTCACGGAAGCTCAGCAGTGACCTCTTTCATTAGATAGACCAGTTTATTTGAAAACCCATAACAGATCTGTCTCTTAACTAAAATTTTAAGACTATGAATTTTAGCCTGTGGCCATCAAACCACTTTGGAGCTAAAAATGTCCAAAGATTGAGATTGAGGCAGAGGATGCTGGCGGCCTTTGGCAGGAAAGGAGGTAGAAGGGTTTGTCTTGCAACCTGACCTGGGTGTCTCCTTACCCTGGGTGCTAGCACCCAAAGAGCAGGAAACCTAAGAACCAGCCCCGCCCGTCCCTGCCATCCTGGCTGGCGCCAGTGAGTGTGAGCAAGGGGGTGCAAATATGAGTCTCCCTGCAGTGCTTCCAGGGCACACGGCTTACCCTTCTCCCAGTCTCTCAGGGGGAAGGCCCTCCCCCAGCTCAGGTACCTCAAATGCCCTCTAACCTAAAGCTGCTCTGAACCGTCAGATGCCCTTGCTTTCCATTTCCTCCCCAATTTTAACAGCAGTTTAAAGAAGAAAAGTAAGCTTCTTTGGGCAGTGAGAGGCTAAGGTGAAGGGAATGACACCCACCTTGGGCTAGGATGGGGCCTGGGGTGAGTGAGTGAGGAGTAGGGGGCCTCATTTCCGGTCCTCCTCCCCCTGCTTTAAACCTCAAATTCCCTTCGCCCTGCCCTGCCACCCCCCTACCCGACAGAGTCGCTCTGTCACCCAGGCTGGAGTGTACTGGCTTCATCTTGACTCACTGCAGCCTCCACCTCCCAGGTTCAAACAGTTCTCCTGCCTCAGCCTCCCAAGTAGCTAGGATTACAGGCACACACACCATGCCTGGATAATTTTCGTATTTTTAGTAGAGACGGGATTTCACCATGTTGGCCAGGCTGGTCTCGAACTTCTGACCTTGTGATCTGCCTGCCTCTGCCTCCCAAAGTGCTGGGACTAAAGGCGTGAGCCACCGCTGAGCCAAGTTCCCTTTTTTGTTTGTTTGTTTGTTTGTTTTAACGCTGGTTATCAGTTTCCTTTGCTTCCGGATGCCTTCTGCACCTTGCTCTCGGGGCATCCTCAATGCCCATCTGCAGCTTAGCCCACAGGCCCGTCCTGGGCAGGATGCTGGGGCCTCACTGTGCCCAGTGGCAGTGAGCCCTGCTCATGGTGCCCCCCGGTCTTCCTGTTTCTTGCATCAAGCAGCCCCTTTGGAGAATCGGACAGGTGTGGAAGCTTTCCCGAGAGGCAGCCACTTTAGAGGGTCTGACACTCCCCACTGGAGAGTCGGCCCACAGTGCAGGCAAAACGCAGATTTTCCTCTAGAGAGAACAGAAGGCTGGAGAGGAGACACGGAGCCGGTGCGTGGAGCCTGCCAGCCTGGGAAACAGCTGGGCGCTGGGGAAGCTGCAGCCTCCCTGCTCCCCTGCCAGGCATCGGGCGGGAGCTGTTCTGTTCCCTGTCAAGCGCGTGGGCCGCCAGTGCTATTCCTGCCACAGTGTGGGAAGGCTCTGGGCGCAGGGCTGTGCTTCCCGGAGCAGCTTCTAGCCTGATTTCAGGCCAAGCCACTCGGTCCCTGGTGCCCGGGAAGGCGCCGGCCTCGCCTTCTGTCTCTCGCCTGCTATGCCTCTGGCCTGCTGTGCGGCTGCAGGGAGGGAGCAGCTCTGCGGCCCGATCTCTGTCACCTCAGCTCTCTGGGCCGCGGCTTCCCCGTGAGAAATGAAGCGCGCTTGTTGGAGGGGCGGCCCCCAGGGGTCGCGGTTGCTGCCCACAGAATTCCGCCCCAGAAACACGTGAGGACTTGAAGCCTCAGGGGACGGGTGCTCCGGGAACCACGCATAGCGGCCTCCCCAGCCCGTCACAGGGTTGCAGAGGCGCCAAGGGCTGGTGGAGCCGCCGGGTCCTCGTGCAGGCTCCTCAGCGAGCCAGCGCCCCAGGCTCCCCGCAGCCTCGCGGCCGGGCCTGGGGACCGCGTGCCCGGGCGCTGCCTCCAGCCTCGTGGGCCGCAAGAGGGCGGGGGCGGCCCCTGGCGGCAGGAGGACTCGGCGGCCCGAGGGACCCTGGGCCAGGCTCCGGGGTCGCCCCGGCTGGGTCTCTGAGGCCCCAAAGCTCTGGGCGGGAATGGGGCGCCCGCGCCTGCGCGCGAGGCCACCCGGGGGAAACCGAAGCAGTGAATGGCCCAGGCCCAGCCCGGTTATCCCGGAGACAGGCCGGGAGTGCCCGGTGTCCTGCGACCGCAGCCGTCGCAGCCTGAACTCCTCCCCTCCCCGTGGGATGCGGAGCGCGGCCCTTCCATCCTGTCCCCGCCACCGTCGTTTCCCCATGCCGGGTCACCGTCGGGATGGACAGACGGCGCGGCCGGTGCCCAAGGCATGCGAGCGCGGGGCCCGCGGGGCGCTGAGGAGCCGGGAGCGCGGAGCCGGAGCTGGGGACAGACAAAGGCGGGGACGGCGGCGAGGGGAAGACAAAGCGCGGAGGGGGGTCGGCGGCGGCGCCCGGGCCCCGGAGGCGGCTCCGGGCGCGGCGGAGCCAATGGGCGGGCGCGGGGCGGGGGCCGGCGGGGGCGGCGCAGCGATAAGGCGGTGGCGGCGGCGGCCGCTCGGGGACCACTGGCAGCGGCGGTAGCTCGCGTCCGCGCCCTTATCGCACCCGTGTGCCCCCGGAGACAGATCCCGCCCCGCGGCCCAGGCCGGGCCTGGTGAGAGCCGCGGGGGGAGGGGCCGCGTCCGGCTCCGGAACCAGGGGAGGTGCCGAGGGGTGTGGGGTGAGGGCCACCCGTGGGGTCCCAGCGAGTCCGCGAGCCGCTCTGGCCCGGGGCGCACAGTCTCGAGTCCTCGCTTCAGGTCCGGCCCCCGGCTGGGCGGAGCCGAGACCCGCTGGCTGGGTTCGCGGCGTCGGGGTCTGGGGTCCGGTCCGCGCGGGGCCAGGTCCGGGACCGAGGGGCGGGGCGGGCGGGGACCTCGGGCGCTGTCCAGGGGCTGCCCAGCCGAGGCCTGGACGCCCGGGCGCGGCGCGGGGCAGTGAGGGCCGGGGTCAGGTCGGGGCAGCGGCTTCTCATCGCGGCCCCGCCTGTCCCGACCTCCCCTCACCCCAAGCGGGGTCCCCGCCCGCGGGGCGCACACGGCGGCTGCGCGGGAGCCCGCGGCCCCTCAGCTCCCGCTAACTTTGTTCTTCCGAGGGACGGTGCCACTCGGGACCCCGGCCTCTGGGGAGCAGGGGTGGGGGAGGTGGGGGAGGGGCGGAAGTGGCAAGACCAAGAGCAACAGGAAATGACTTAGGGAAAGTCCCAACCGCAATCCCCCCAGCCCCTGCCTGTCAACACCCCGCACCCTGCAGGCTGGGGCCGGACTGGCGGGGCCCTCCCGACTGACTTCCCCTTGCAGAACCCAGCGGGTGCCGCGTCTCCACCCGAGGCTTCCACCTCCAACAAGCCATGTTCCAGGCTGCAGGAGCCGCCCAGGCCACCCCCTCTCATGTAAGTGCCCGGCCGGGTGGGAGGACCCGCCAGACGGGAGCCTGGCCTGGGGAAAAGGGGAGAGGCTCCAGAGTTTGCCGGCCCCCTTTGCCCCCTGCGGCGCGTCCCTAGGCCTTGGGCTGATGGCTGCAGCCCTGGTCCAAGGCCTCCCGGAGCTGCTCCTGCCCTGACCGCCCCTCTCCCTCAGGATGCCAAAGGCGGCGGCAGCAGCACGGTGCAGCGCTCCAAGGTAGGGGCCTGGGGCCGGTGTGCGGGAGGAGGGGTGTGAGGGAGCGGGATGGGCACTGGGGCAGCACCTGGCTGAGCCTCCCGCACAGTCCTTCAGCCTGCGGGCCCAGGTGAAGGAGACCTGCGCCGCCTGCCAGAAGACCGTGTACCCCATGGAGCGGCTGGTGGCTGACAAGCTCATTTTCCACAACTCTTGCTTCTGCTGCAAGCACTGTCACACCAAGCTCAGGTGCGCCCCTGCCCTGCCCGCCCCCGCCTCGCCTGCCAACCCAGCCCCGACCTGGCCTGACCTGACGCCGTTTGGCTTCTGCAGCCTGGGCAGCTATGCCGCGCTGCACGGGGAGTTCTACTGCAAACCCCACTTCCAGCAGCTGTTTAAGAGCAAAGGCAACTACGACGAGGGGTTTGGCCGCAAGCAACACAAGGAGCTCTGGGCCCACAAGGAGGTGGACCCCGGCACCAAGACGGCCTGAGGCCTCTGCAACCTTCCACCCCCTCTGCGGAGGGCCTGGAGCCGGCAGGGGGAAGATGGGAAGGAGGTGGAGCTGGGCTTGCGTGGGGGCCAGGTGGGAAGGGGATGAGGCTTGCTCAGGCGGAGGGGCCCAGGGCAGGGCTCTGCTCCAGGATTCCTTTCTTCCTCCTCCTCCCGCAGCCGGTGAGGGTTTGGGAACCAGGATTGGGGTCTGCCCACCACCCTGCTTCCTGCTTCGTTCAGCCACCATCCCCACCTTACCCCAGGACCCCCTGGGAGGCTCCCAAGCCCAGCTTCCCTATCTAGGTGCCTTTTCTCCAGCAAGGAGTCAGCATGCCCCGCTCAGGGTCCCAAGCTCCCTCACTGCCACCGGAGACAGTGTGGCCCCCACATCTCCCCATCTACCTCTATCCTTAACCTGGTTCTGAGCCACGGAGACAGGGAGGAAGGAGCGCCACAGTGCCACCTGTTGGGCCTCATAAATGCCCCTGCAGCCCATGGGGGAGGGGATGGGGAAGTGGAGCCACCCTGCCTCTGCAGGGCAAGGCAGGGCCTGCCCCAGTGGGGCTTGGGACCATCTCGAACCACCAGCGTGGAGAAGCAGAAGCAAAAGCACTCACCAGGCTGCAGCCTCAGGCACTGGCAGGGGCTGGTGCGGCCCCACTCCCCTCCCCTACTCCCGTTTCTGCCCATCCTGACTGTTGTGACCAACCCCGTTTTAAACATGTTTCAATAGATGCAGATTCTCTATTGTGTGGCCTGCTGGGGGATTTGTCGCAGAAAGGGTGCAAACTCACCATGGGGAGGGCTTGCGGGGACAGGGCCAGCCCGGAGTACCTCGGCCCGGATGGGGGTAGGGGGCTAGAAGTGGGTGTCAGTTCCCTGACACACCATTGAAAAATGGGAGGGGTCCTCTTCACAGCCAGGGTTCCATGCTGTCACACCACAGTGGTTTTGAAACTGAAACTCCACTTCGCCCCTCAGTTTTGGGTTGGTTCAGACCCACCGACTTACCATATGCACCCCATTGTGAAGAGGCCTGAGCGCGGGAGGGCCAGGCTGCCAGTGGGTGATGGTGCCTGTCCTCGCTACACTTCAGTGCCTGGGGTGCGAGCTGCCATATTCCCTGGCTGGTTCCAGCTGTCTAGCTCCCTCCCTTCTTCCCAGCCCTTTGACCTGGAAGTCAGCGAAGAATGGCAGGAACCAGTAGACCCAGCAAGTGCTGCCCAAGGTTTTAGTGACCCCTGGATTGTCCCTCCTCATCATCCCCTTGCCTTTTCAAGCTCTGGGGAGGGGCAGTCACAGCTACTATCCCAAGAAGTCCAAAAAGAAACTACATATGCTCCTCTGAAAACCCAGGGACAATGAGGGATGAGTTCACAGCAGGGCAAAGCAGGCAAGCTGGGAGGACCTGAGGGCGCCCGTGGGACATAGGCAGGAAGTCTGGGTTGTCTCGCTCCAGATTCAACTTCCTGGTGTCTCCATACATGGGACTGATGAGAACAGAGACTCTTAGAGAGTTTGCTGCCACCACACCACACAACTGCCTGAGTTCCTAAGTGGCCTCCCCATGGAACAGGGCAGGGAGCTGGGCCACAGGCTCCGGTATCACATGAGCCACTGTGCTGAGGCAGGCACTGCTCCTCGAGGGAGCAGAGCAAATACTCAGCAGAGATGCTGCCCCAGGCCTGGGTCCTTCCAGGTGTGAAGCGAGTGGCTCAGAGCCTCTAGGGGCAGGCCAACTTCCTGCACCAGAGGTCTCAGATGGCAACGACGACTGTCTTGGTTCTGTTAAGCAACAGTAGCAGATGACCACAAGGGGGTACTAGAGAGGTGGCTCTTGGAGGCACCTGACCCCTGCCCTGCAAAGGTGGGACTGAAGAAAGTCCTCTGGGGCAGGAAGACCCTATCAAATGTCATGAAGGCTCTGGGAACCCAGCCACTGGTGACATTCAGGTCATGAGGGCCAACAGTGCCACCTTGACAAATCAGCCCTGTTGGGACCACCCCAGTGGAGCTCCTGGAGGGGCAAGTGGAGGAAAGGGGAAGATACCTCTGGGCTGACGGTGGTACCAGCCAGGTCACCCCAGGACCCCTCTACTTGGAATCAATTTCTCTTCTGCTTGAGAGGCCCAAGCTTGTTGCCAGGCACCATACCTGGCCCCCGCCAGACACAAACCTACCTCCACCTCCCACAACCAAAAGTACTGCCACAGGACCCCTCTGATATAAATGATCCCTTTTATTGTAAGTAATGCGCAACACTGGCCTGGCTTTGCACTGCAAGCCCTCGGTCAAGATATAGTCAAATAACTATGGCTGCAGGTTCCACAGTTCCACAATAACCATGGCTACACGATCCACAATTCAAACAGACACAGAGCTGGGGTGCACAGGAGGGGCAGGAGGGCGGCAGAGTGCGGACTGTCCCCAGCCCTGGCCTCTCCATGTGGAGTTGACCCAGGCAGACACACCCCATGGAATGATGAGAGTGATGGCATGGCCCCTTCCCACAGCAAGCCTAGGGCTGCCAGGAAACTGCCCTTCAGAACCTTTGGGCCCAGGTCACCCTGAAGCCCCACAACTTTTTATCTGGATTAGTTATTAAAAAACAATAAATTAAAATTAAGCAACAACTTGGTCCTGAGGATGCTGAGCCAGCATGTCCACAGTTTTTGGCACAAAAAAATTAGGATCTGTTTTGCTTTTTTGGAGTGCAGGGTTTGTTGGCTTGTCTTCATTTTCAAAACACATTCCCAGTGAGGTAAGACCCCAGGGGGTAGAGCTCTGTAAGAGCCTGAACCTGGGACACAGTCGAGTCAGCCAGCACCATGCTCTGTATCCTCTTGGGGAACAGGGACTAGGGATGGGGGTGCGGGCCAGGAAGAGTGTGCAGCCAGCAGGATGGGGTCGTGGAGAGGCCGAGCTGCCACACAGCAGCTTTGGTCGAGATGAGGGCCAGGCCCCACCCTGGGCAAGGGCCGAGGTGGAAGCAGGAGCCTGTGCTGTCTTCAGAGGGCAGTGTGGGGTACAGGGGCTGATAGATGCCCTGGGGGAAAAGGGATGGACACAGGAGGGTCCAGGCCCAACTGGCGCATGCGACACACATTTCTGCAAAACCAGCTGCTTTCATTTTCTCTTCTCTCTCTCGAGGCGTCCATCACCTGTAACAGTCTAGAATTGATATATATAAAAACCATCAAATATGATCTGAGATATAAATTAACAAGTACAAGGCCTCACATTACATGATGTGAAAAGGCTAAAAACAGCGATAGAAACTACATTCATAAAAGTGCATCGTCAACATACAACGAAGGCTTTGGCTTGTTCTGTGCCCGTGGGGATATAGGCATGGCTGGCAGGGCTGCCTGGCACTAATCCCCAGCTCCCTGGAGACGCCCATCCCTGGGCACTGGCTTTTTTTTTTTTCCTTTAATGACAACTCCCAAGGAAACTGGGTGTTGAGAGGGAGGAGCTCTAGCAATAGGCACATTTTGGAGGGGAGGGGCCGGAAGAAAGGACCAGCACCCAGGCTGAGGTAAATACGGCCAACTCTAAGCTGCTTGGAGATGCTGTTTCCCCAACCCCTGCTGCCATTCCCCCTCCAGGGGAGGAGCTACAAGGGAAAGGGGCTGAGACCTCAAGGGGATGGGCAAGGCTGGCTATGGAAGAAGAGAGCTGGCGGTTTTGGACACAGCTGGTGGTAGCACATGGGCTTTCCCTTCTACCAGATGGAGTGGGCTCTGGCCTAGCAGGTCACGACTGAGACAGCCTGAGACACCTCCTCGGGATCTCTGGGATCAGGGCACCAGCCGGGCCAGATGCCCCCACTGTGTTGTCCATCTCCCCTTCTGCTCCAGTGGGGGAACAAAGACTGGGCCAGGAGCACAAAGGCCACAACCTTCAGCTCTTTCCAATGCAGCCTAGGCCCAAGCCCACAGCAGGGGTATTCAGAACCCAGAGGGCACACACAGTCTCCAGTTTAGAAACTGGGTACAGCGTAAGAGTGACTCCGACTTGTAAAACAGAGACAACTGCATTGACAAAACTGGATCCCCCCTCAGTGGCAGCAGTTCCACATTGCGGGCCCCTGCCTGGGAGAGGCAGGGTCATGCCACAAGCAGGACAGGCTCCTCCTTCCCTGAATAAGGCAGCATGACATTTGCTTCATTCATCTTTGGTAAAGGACAGGACTGGCAGAGCCAACCTGGGCTCTAGGGGGCGGCAGCCTGGGCCTCTGCCTGCCACTGCTAGCGAGTGCTGGCCTTTCCCTCAGGCTTTTGGGAGCTCATCCAGCCCAGAGACGCCCCGGTGGTCTCCAGACATTGGAAGGAAAAACAAAATAACACTTTGAATGAAAATAACACTCTTCATACCCTGGCATCAGTCCCGTGCCCCCAGACCCTCTGGGCTTCGGTGCCGATTGCAGTGTCAGGACACATCCCCGAGGGTGGGGCCCATGGCGGCCTTGCACACTGTTTCCAGCCCCTACCCCTCCACGCTGAGCTCAGGACACTGGAGCTCCTGGATCTGACAGGCTGGGGGCTCGCAGTCCTGAGGCTGCAGCCACCCCACCCCGGCTCTGAGCCCCAGTGGCGGAAGGGGCACAGACCGACAATGGCTGGGCTGCCACTCCATGGTCCACAGCCTTGCCTGGGAGAAGCAGCAACTTCACTGAGCCCTGCAGCAGCCCCCTGCCATGCAGCAAAGGGCAACCGGCAGCTGCGTGGCCATGAGAGCTCAGTACATGAGCTGTGCAAAGTGGTGTGTGAGCAGCTCCTCAGCTGAAGGTCTCTGGCGAGCCTCCACAAAAATGCGCCTCAGGAAGTCCCGGCCATGTTCAGAGATGTGGGAGGGCAGCTGAGGATTGGTGGGCTGGGTGGCAATCTTGAAGATGGCGGCCATAGCTTCATACTCTGCCCATGGTGGTTTCTCTGTCAGCATCTCCACCACAGTGCAGCCCAGGCTCCTGGAAAGAGAACCCTGTGTCACCCCTCAGCCAGCCCTAGACTCCCAGCTGTCCTGCCCACCACTGCAGAAGGAGGCGCCTTTCTCAGAGCATGATGAGGTGCAAGACAGGCCAAGCTGACGGATACCTTAGCTTGGATCCCTGTCCACCTGGGCTTCGTGGACCTACACTCACCACACACCTGGGCACTTCTTGAAACTGGGAAAAAGAGAATCACAGCCTTGATAGAAAGAACTCTACAATAACTGTATTAGCTACCCACAGCTGCTCTAACAAATGACCACAAACTTAAGAGGCAGGAGAACAACAGAAATGCATCATCTTACAGTTCTGAAGGTCAGAGGTCTAAAATCAGTCTCACAGGACTAAAGTCAAGGTGGCGGCAGGGCTGGTTCCTGTCGGAGGCTCTGAGGAGAGAATCTGTTTCCTTGCCTTTCCTGGGTTCTAGAGGCTACCTGCATTTCGTAGCCCATGGTCCCCTCCTTGTATTACTCCAACCTCTTGCTTCCATCGTCTCACCTCCTATTAGCCACTCTGACCTCCTGAGACCCTTCTATAAGGACCCTTAATCCAGGATAATCCACCCATCTCAAAACCCTTAACCTAATCCTATCTGCAAAGGCCCTTTGCTATATACAATCACATTTACAGATCCAGGGATTAGGCAGTGGACATCTTTGCGGGGACATTATTCAGCCCACCACAATAGCTTTCCAAGGGGAGAAGCTCTCATGACTTAGGGGCCATTTCAGGGGATAGACACAAGGTTATGTCGAGCA